TAATAATACATGATAATAATAATAATATAGCAATACAGAGATAATAATATGACAATATAATATTGATTGATTGATTGATCCACCTCGTCACTGCAGATCACTGTACATGATACATGACAAGTCAAGCCAATTCTGAACATTAACAATCCGATACATAAGCAGATTAAAATTACAATAGTTACAATTCCACTGCTGATTACAATCTAGAACCGGCTAGATACTCCCACTTGTGGAGAATTTGATGGAATGAACATATAAATATAACATATTTATGAACATATAAATGCCGGTCCCCAGGGTGATTTAAATATTTAAATCGCCGGTCCGGAAAGTGTTAAAAGAACACAGTGTGCGCAAATTATTTCAAAATACGTTTATACAAAAGACCTGTAACTTGTAAAATGTGAGAGCGTGAAAATTATTTCAGAGCTAACTTTGTTTTCACGACTGATGAAATTTATTTGCATGAATCTTATATTTAGTATTAATACTTGGTATACTTCATTCTATTAAATAGGCCGAGGAGGAGGGGGAGCACGTGTCTCTCATGTCCCTCCCTTCTCCCTTGCACCCGGATTGTATGAGCCGGTAGGTGCTTCTTGCTTTTCGACTACATAACCTAGAACCGCTGTTTTATAGCTTAACCATGCAGTAACGTCCTTATACGATCTTACTCCATACACTTTCATGTACTAACCTTAATTTATGCCGTAGTTCACCGTCAGTCCATTACAGACAAATCAGACGATTAACCAATTCACGATATTATGCAACATCAACCACATCGGTCACATCTTCCTACAACGATAATCGTTTTCGTAATCAGTGTTACCAATAGGTTCGTAGAAACGAAAATGCTGAATGCTTTCAATAAAATGCATTCGAAGTGCAACATGTTAAGGAAACGATATACACAGAAAATAAATCATACCCGATATTTTAAAAACTCCCTTTTCACCACGCGCAAGCCCCCCCCCCAAAAAGAAAGCGCTTATTTCTAAACCTTTCCATGCACGCTCTTGTACTGGAATTTACCAGGACCACAAGCGTTGCGCGCGTATTTCCTCACGCGGAATTTTCATAAATTTGTTATCAGTGCTTTCTAAAATTGGGGTCCTGTCATGGTAATAATTACAACCACCTTTTGGCATATGGCGCCATGTACTGTGGTCGAAGTTTACAGATGATTCGGCGGAAAGTTTACAAACTTTTACCAGCTTACAGACTCCAGACCACACGAGCTACAAGAGCATATAAAGGTGAAGCCGGGTAAAGCTAATTCCGTAACAGGCCGTGGAGGCCCACACATTTTCTATACAATCAGTTCACAGTTAGCAGTGAGGTTGACAGCCTTATGCGCCGGCGCCCTTTAACTGCAGGAAGTTTTGTGGTACTTATTTCTGTTAGAAGCTGAGTCAACTCCAGGGCCATAGTGCAGTTGGGAGATTTAGACCAATTGAAAAAAATCCAATGACCTCTTCGGGAATCAAACTCACGACATTTTGTCCTGTTGCATTGTGCCTCAACCATGTTACCACATACCCAGACCCCAGATTACATGTATATTAACAACTTTCTCTCACAACTAAGTTTTTATGGAATTCAAGGTATTTCTGGCCAGTGGTTTATATAAAACAATGAAAACCACTTCGTTGTGGTAATTTGAAGTATTGATGGACTGTGGTTAAATCATACCTTCATAATAGGAAGCAACGAGTGAAATAAAATCAAATTAAAACACCTAGTGATAGAGTCATTTGCTCCATCTTTTTCTCTGGCACCCTAGGATCTTAGTGCTCCAGTGTCTGTTTAGTTTTCTAGTCATCTTCATTCCTTATAAGTTGCAGCAAAAATTATTTTAGTTTAATTATGGTTTACTTAACAATGCTGCTAGCAGCTCAGATTACATAACACTGAATGGTGGGATGGCTAATGAACAGGAAGGGATACAGAAGGAAGAAATTGTAGTGTAATTTGAGGTGCTATCCTGGCATTTATCTATAGGTACTGAGGAAAACCATGAACATGAAGATAAAATGTGTTTTAAATTGAAGAACTAAGTGTCAGGGTAATGGCAGGAAGCAAGAAAATGCTTTAAATGATTCAGACTTCATAGGCATTATCACCATAACTAGTGATTTTCTTGAAATCATTGAGCTTCATGCAAACATTGCATATGACATTGGGTACCTTATGAATATCTACTTCACTTTCACTACAAACAGGATATTATTATTATTAAACCTTTAAAGAATTTGGAAAGATCAAAGATATCAAGGAACAGTAATGTTGTTTATATTTATATTTATCTTATTCACGTATTTGCTATTTTAATCATAATGCCATCTTGAGGAAAAGTTTTATGTTTGTATATAATGCGATGCATTGCACTGATAGTGATCCATATCGCTACCTCAATAACTATACGTATTCCTGTGTATAACTGCCTGATGATGATCTTATATGACCGAAACATGTAGCAGCAATAAAGATCTAAATTAAAATTGAGCACAGAGATATTGGGTTTTCGGACTTTATCCATCGTCCTGGTTTTAAAATAACTAAGAAAAACACGACGTTTCGGAAACCGGATCTGTTTTTGGACTTTATCCATAGTCCAGGTTTTAAGATAACTAAGAAAAACACGACATTCTGGAAACTGGATCTGTTTCCGGAATGTCGTGGTTTTAAGATAACTAAGAAAAACACGACGTTTT